TCCCTTCTGGTAGCACAGTAACACCCTGTTTATACACAGCTATAGCTAAATCTGGGTGATTACTTAAAATTTCATTTCTTAGAGGTGGGTCTGTCCAGTTTGCTTCAGCAATACCTGAGTTTGAACTCAGAGAGCTTTGCATTCATTAGGCCGACACTCTACCACTGAGCTACATATCCAGCACACTTTTGCCCTGGTTATTTGCCCAGACTACTATCCTCCTGAAAGACTCCCTGCTGTAGCTGGGGTGATGGGTGAGTCTATGCCCAGCTTCCTCCATTGAGATGGAGTCTTAATCAGCATTTTGCCTGAGCTGGCCTGAAATCACTACCCTCGTAATCTCAGCCTTGTGCATAGTTAGGATGGTAGGCACATACCACAATACTTAGCTATTGACTGCAAAGAGATATCATGAACTTCCTGCAGTGGCTGGTCTCAAACCACACCACCTGGCTTGTCTTGTTTATTTTCATGGCCTTCTATTTGGTACAAGGCCTAGCATATGTCCAGCCCACATAATAAATTATGTATGGGCCATGTACTATGTAATGTACAGTACATACTTATGTACACACATTCACATATAAGTTTACATTTTTAATGTACATTCATAAGACACACTTTACAAATGATTGTCCAGGAAGGTCTTATATGTCATACAAGACAAGATTGCATCTTGATTAAGAAAATGGAAGCCAAGGGGCAGGGAAGGTGGCTCAGTGGTAGAGTGCGTACCTTGCATGCATGAGGCCCTGGGTTCGATTTCTCAGCACCAGATAAACAGAAAAAGCCAGAGGTGGCACTATGGCTCAAGTGGTAGAGCACTTGCCTTGAGCTGAAGAGCTAAGGGACAGTGCCAAGGCCCAGAGTTCAGGCCCATGACCTACCAAAAACAAACAAACAAAAAAAAAAACTGTTATGGGGGGGAGGGGGGATTGAGAGGGAGAGGGTGGGAAGGGATGTGAAGGATAAACAAAGGAGGAGGCTGCAATGCTTGATAAGAAATGTACTCATTATCTTGCCCATGTAATTGTAACCCCTCTGTACAGTATGTTCACAAAAAATAAAAATTAAAATTAAAAAAAAAAATAAAAAAAATTTAAAAAAAGAAAATGGAAGCCAAGTAGTAGCAATGCATGCCTTTAATCCTAGTTATTTAGTAAGATGAGGCCTGGAGGACCATAATTCAAAGCCAGCAGGCAAAATAAAGTCCAGAGACTCATTTCAAATGAACTGGTAAGAAGGCAGACCAGATCTGCTACTCAGAGTACCAGCTATGAGCAAAATGTGAGGCCATTTATTCAAGCTCTGGAATCAAGAAGAAAAAAAATAAGACTGAAATCTATGTCCCTGGCACAGTGATGTATACCCAACATCCCAGAGCTCAGGAGGCTAAGATAGAAAAATTAAGAGTTCCAGGCCAACTTGGGCTATCTAGTAAGACCCTTGTCTCAAAAAGAAAACAAGGAACTATTGTTCCCACTTCATATACTATTGAAAGGATTAAATGAGGTGAAACACATCAATCACTGGGCCTGGAATATTATGTTTCTTATTAATTATTGACACAGTGAAGTGTTGCTGCTGAATGAAAACAATTCCTAAAGTTGGCATGCACATTTGAATAAGCATAGATACATAATGACCTGCAAAATACTGTGCTTTTACATTACCTGAACACTGCCCTGTGTCCTGAGTCAGGAAGTCCTTACCCTCTGCAAATAATGGTGGAGAGTATTTCACCTTAAGAAATAATAGTGTTCAATTTTCTCATGTATGTTAGTAGTGTTGTGAATGGAACCCAAGGACTCACTCATGATATAGACAACTGCTCTACACTTCCAACCCTTAAATTTTTGAACTAGAGACAAAATTAAAACATTGTAAGGACCTTTGTAAATAGTCTTTTGTTACTGAGTAGCATTCCAGCTCTGTACTTCCCAGTCTCCAGTTCTCAGCTTTTAGTTTGGTTTTTTGTTGTTGTTTGTTTTTGTTTTGTCCCTTGTGGGGCTTGAACTCAGAACCTGGGCGCTGTCCCTGAGCTCTTGCTCAAAGCCAGCACTCTACCACTTGGAGACAGCACCACTTCCAGTTTTCTGGTAGTTAATTGAAAATATGAGTTTCATGGAGTTTCCTGCCTGGGCTGGCTTTGAATCACAATCCTCAGATCTCAACCTCCTGCATAGTTAGGATTACAGGGGTGAGCCACCAGTGCTCAGCTCCTTGGTAGTCTTGATGAATGAAATATAATTAGCCAACACATACCAGTGCATGCTAATGATAAGAGTGACCAGCATTTATTGAGGACCTACTGAAATCTATGTCTAGCTTGAATGTCAAGCAATGTTAATGTCTATTTTGTAGCTGGGAACACTGAAGCCAGAGCAGTAAACATGTATTGCTAGGCAGGACTGGAATGCCCAGTGCTAAGCCTCACCTTACTGCCTGCAGCTGTTTGGATGGGTGCATGAGGTAGCTTTGAAACCCTCAGTACTCCCACTTCCCTCCCTACTAAGATGCTTTACTTTGGAGTTTCTAAGTCCCCAGTGCTAATGAGACTGCTGTGCAGTAACACTAATGTGAAAATGTCTGCTCATTTAGTTCTCCACTGTGAGGATGCCAATTAGAAGGCAAGGCATTCATTGATGCTGGACTGAAGCCTGAAGAGATTAGGACACAGGCTTAGACCCTGTGTCAGGGCCTTACATTTCTGACTCAATGGGGTTCTAATTCCCAAGTTCAATTATCATCAGTTGTTCTTTCAATGGTTCTATGAGAATGAACGTCTGGGTGTGGGGGGAGGAGGGGGCCTTGGCTCCAGGTTTAACTCAGCAAGTCTTTTTTTTTATTATTCAGTTTTTTATTGTGAAAATACTCTACAAAGGGGTTACAGTTACATGAACAAGGTAATGAGTACGTTTCTTATCCAGCATTGTTGCCTCCTCCTTTGTTTTTCCCCTACCATCCCTACCTCCCACCTCCTCAGCTACCCCCCCACCCCCGCCTAAATTGTAAAGTTCATTTTTCAACATAGCATCTTGTACATCTCATTGTTGAATGGGCCAATCTGTATCCCTATTTAAACAATTTGTTTTTTCCCTTCTGCTCCCCAAATTATACCAACATCAAATACAGTGAAAACAGGGGATATATGGTGGAAGTGGGGGAAGGACATACTAAGCAACAAAAAAATCACATGGTACCTTATACATTAGAAACAATAGCAATGAAGAAAAAAACCACTTGTGTCCCTATCTTGGGGTTCATTTCCCTTAACATCATCTTAGCAAGTCTTAAGAGAAAACTTACACACTGAGGCTCACTACAGGGATTTGCTTCCTGCCTATGCATACTCGTTCAGCAGACAGAAGAAGCCAGTAAACTCAGCACGCTGAAGTCCCATGTTTTGTTCCACCTAAAGTCATGATATTAACCCTAATTAGGTTGAGCCATACACACTTGCCATCTTATAGATGAAATGTAATTGAGTTTCAGCAAAGGTGTGTTCATGCAACCCATCCATTGCTAAGCACCCAGAGGCCAAGGAATTCATTAGTTTATCTGGCTTTGGTTTCAAATGAACAACAAATGTTTGGGGGTTTTTTTGGTGTGTACACTCACATGACTTTTTGGCTCCAGGCTATTGCTCTACCACTTGAACCACATCAACACTTCTGGATTTTTGTTGGTTCGTTGGGAATAAGAATCTCACAAGTTTTCTGCTCAGGCTGCCCACCACAGCTTGTAAGATACCTTCCTAATGTAGGTCACAGAAAACAAAGACCATTGTGGATTAAATACCTATTAGTAGACAAGTTATATAAACCAAAGGGAATGTGATCAATGGACAGGGATTAAGCAATGTATGGGAGAGCATCGTGAAGCAACCTGAACAACCGGGCTAATCACAGTAGAAGAGCTAGGTGTCATTTTTGATAGCTTTCCATGCGATGCTGAGAAGACCATGACTTTCATCTTGTAAGTGAAAATTAACTGCAGCTACTGAGAAAGACCCTGGAAATGAGAGCAAATAGACAATACTCACTGTTTATATATAAAGATTCCTAAGGCATAGAGTATGCCCAAGCTCACTCAATAAGTAAAAGGTCATCTAGCTTTAGACTGAAGGTCAGATGACCTTAACACTTTTTTAATACTATTAAACATTTCCATATAAAAATTCATACCTGAATATTCATATCATTATTCATAATATCTAAAAAGTGAACACAATTTGAATGCTTATCAGCCAATGAACAAATAAATAAAATGTGGTAAGTCCATACAATGCAATGCTATCCAGTCATAAAAAGAACATCCTACAACATGGATGAACCTTTTGAAAATACTGTGCTAAGTAAGAAAAAGCCAGGCACAAATGACCTCCATATTCTGAGTCCTTTTATGTGAAATTCCCAGAGTGAGAACTAGAAAGCAGGTGAGTGTTGGTCCAGAGCTTCTAGAGTGGAAAACGGGGAGTAACTGATAAAGGAGCTCTTTAGGGGTGGGTGGGGGTGGTTGAAAACCTTCTAAATTTAGAGTGTGGTGTTGATTGCATAAGGATGTGGTGATCCTAAAACCCATTGAACAGTGTACTTAAAATACCTGTATTTTAGGGTGCTGTGAGTAGTATCTCCTAAAACTTAGAAAAGTTTAAACATCTAAAACAGCTCTACGCTTTTATGTGAGTAGTGACATCTCGAGTCCAGGAGAAATACAAATCAGAGTTAGTAGGTGCATTGACCTAGACCTTGAAAATAGTACCAGATTACAGGTCAGGTCCCAGGCCAGGCCTTCCTTCATGACAGAACACAGAAACCAGCCAGGTTTCTCTGTTGCCAGGGAACTGACATGCTCTGTTAGTAACTGGTTTATATTTTGCAGACACCAGCTCTACCTAGACACTAAATTAACTATTAGCTCTCTAGCTGGCCCAAACATTATGATAGTCTATGGACAAAGTGGTACTAAATTCATCTTGTCTTGCTTTTGTTCTGCAGTTTTTGAAGAGCCAGAAGATCCAAGCAACAGATCATTTTTCTCTGAAATTATCTCTTCAATTTCGGATGTGAAGTTTAGCCACAGTGGGAGGTATATCATGACCAGGGACTATCTGACCGTGAAAGTCTGGGATCTCAACATGGAAAATCGTCCCATTGAGACTTACCAGGTACTAAAAAAAACAACAGCTACTCATGGGTATACAGAACACTCCCTTTGTGGAGTCAGCCTCCACCTGCAAAAGCTCACAGGTTTACAATGCAGAATAAAAGATGGTGAGGTACTTACTAAAAAAAAAAATATGAGCTGTAAATGCCACAGGATTTAAGACAAGGTTGCATGTGAAGAGGATAGCATTCAATTTAACCTATAGAGACTGAAATTTTAAGGTGGGCTACACACTATTCAGAGTGAGCAAAGTGAATATGGTTCTGACCATGTGATAGAGAAGCTGGTTGATAAAATAAGGAGTTCAGAGTGCAGTTATACAAGGGATAATTTTAGAACAGGGAGACTTGCCACATGAGAATGGTGGAGACTGATGATCATAACCTAGTCAGAAAAGCATGTGCTTAGAATAATATGGTCAGAGGCCTGAGTTGAGAAATGTGGCATGCACAGAAAGGTCACCTTAAATATGGAATAACCAGGGCAGGAAGTTGAGCCTCAAAAAAGCAGGAAAGGGTCTGCATGCAGACTGGCAAGGTTATTCTACCTTTGGTTTGAGTGCACATGGAGAATCAAAAGAAAACCTTGACACAAGAAATGACACTGTGTGATGTTTTCGTGTTGTTTCACTTCACAATTTACAGACCTTAAGGGCACAGGGTGATGGTGATTTAAACTGGAATGATGAAAAGTAGACCAGGGTAGAGAGCCATGGAGAGTTGTTTATTGACTCACGGGGGGGGGGGGGGGGGGGGGGGGGGGGGGGGATCAAGGATCCTGAAAAGGTTTTGGCTCAAGCACTGGGTAGAGAAATGTGGTACAAACACTGGCAAAGGGAACAAAAGAGAGGCATTTGGAATCGTTTGATTTAAAGAGGAAGACTAGACTTTGAGGTAGACAGAATTTAACAAGCCAAACCAAACAAGAATGCTATGAAAGCAGCTGATCCTATTTTAAGAGATTGGGTTACATTTTTTTAAGTAGGAATCATAATATTCCCCTTTCAGTGACATTGAGCATGAAGCATCATATTCATAAATTGACATGTTGAGTTAGAACTTCTTTGTGCAACTACTCGAAGATGATAAAATTAAAAATACGAATATTTCTCATTTCAACTCACATAATCCATGGGTTAGAGTACATTCGCTCCAGTTTTAAAACCATTAACACTAATTCCAGAACATTTTCATTTTACAAGAACATGGTAACTCTGCTGGAGGAGAACTACATGGGGACATGAGATGGAAGAATGTTAGAGTTATTGCGGGATTCTGGAAATGGGTGATGATATGGCTTAGGTGGGGGTATTAGCCATGGAGGTGGGCAGGTTATGGATTAATTTCCAAGGTAAATATCATTAGGATCTAAAGACACATGTTTGATCAAAGAAAGCAAGGGCCGAGGATTATTTCAAGGAAAGGGGGGTTGACATTTTATTTAGATGAATAATGGAGAGCTTGATTTGGGATGTCAAACCAGTTAAACATGCAAATGAAGCTGGCAAGTAGCATCTCAGTGCTAGTCTAGAGTATCTAGCTAGCTAGAGATATGCATTTCATACTCCAAAGTACAAAGTGGATCTCTAAGGTTATAGGGCTACAAGAGGACCCCATAGGCAATGATTATAGAGAAGTAATTTATTTCTGTGCCCTGGGGCCCCCGTGTTTTCAGATTGAAAGTAGGGATATTTGGCAGAAAAGACTGAGGAAAGTGGCCTGGGAGGCAAATGAGAAGAATGTCCCCAGGCGGAAGAGGGCAGCAACTGCCCATGTGGTTGCCACATGTAGTGTAAGTAATCCTAACAGAGGAGTAAGCTGAGTGGGTTGGATGAATGGCTGATTGGAGTGGATTCAAGACTGCCAACAGAGGATGTGAGTATGAGGACCAGCAAGTCTTTCAACAAATTTCATTCTGAATGAACTCAGAACTACGGTGGGATGCAATCTGAAGAAAAAGGTATAGCATGCTTTTAGCCTGACAGAATTAAGCCAGAGTCCTCGAGGAAAGCAAGAAGGGCTAGAATCTGTTGAAAAACTTGGAAGATGAATAATTTAAAAAATAGTAGAGATGAATAAAGAGAAATAAGAGTGGATGGAGTCATAATATTCAATGCACACCCTATGAAAATAAGAAAATTGAGAGGAGAGGCGGGAGAGAATGATGAATGAGATGACATTGATCAAGAGGCATTATATTCATAAACTGATTTATTGAATGGTAACTCCTTTGTACAACTACTTAGGGATGTTTACAATGTTTTAAAAGTAGTATATATAGTATATAAAAAGTAGTGTATAGATTTATTTATTTATAGTATATGGATTTATAATTCAAAGACTAGACTTTGACGTAGACAAGATTTAAAGAAGCCAATCCAGCTAAGAATGCAATGAAAGCAAAGGGATCTTATTTTAAGGTCTTGAATTCGATTGTTTAAAATAAAGAATTAGAGCAAGGGAATCCATGGTGTGTATGTTTCTTACTGCTTCCATTTTCATAGTAAACTAAGAAACAAGGTCATGATCAGCTGGATGGGTAGGAGGAAAGCATGGGAAACATTCAAGGGTCATTCTTGGATCCTCTTGAGATTATTGTTGACTTAAAGATTAAACTGTATAGTTGTGTGTTGTTTCCCCTAGCCACAGTCACCTGCTTGGTATAGGTAAAGCAAGTGCAGAAAGTTAGATTTGGCCAATGATAAAGATTCTGCCAAAAGGATTGCAATGGAAAAGAGAGACAAGGGGAAATTGTCCAGCATACATGCTGAAAGACTTAGTGACACACTTCCAAACCTAAGGAAGTTAGAAGTTATGAAGGGAAATGATGAACATGGGGAAGCAGTCAGGTCAATAGAGTTGATGAATTGCTAGAATCGAGATACTAAAGAGTGATGGACAATGACCAAGTTGCATTGTATTCATAAACTGCCTTGTTAAATGGCAACTCCTTTGTACAACTAGTTAAAATAAGATGAAGTGGAAAGTGTGACTCATGGAGGAGACATGGTAATGGTAATAATAATGGTAATAATAAGGAAGCAGAGGACAAAACTCTCTGAATATGATCAGAGCAAGCAACTAAGATACTGAAGTATTTATATCACTAAGAATGATAAGCAGAATAGGGATGGAGGTACCAAAACTGCCTTTTGAGAACTAACGAGGTACCAAGACTCACGCCTACAATCCCAGCTATTCAGGAGGCTGAGATCTGAGGATCATGGTTCAAAGCCAGCCCAGGCCAAAAAAAAAAAAAAAAATGTTGTGGGATTCTTAACTCCAATTAACCCCCAAAAAGCCAGAATGTTGAATGTTCATAAACTGCTTTGTTAATGGCAAGTCCTTTGCACAACTACTTAAATAAGAATATATTTAAAAATAAATTTTCACGGCTGGGAAGGTGGCTCAATGGTAGAGCGCTTGCCTTGCATGCCTGAAGCCCTGGGTTCGATTCCTCAGCACCATATTAAAAAAAAAGCCGGAAGTGACGTTGTGGCTCAAGGGGAAGAGCGCTAGCCTTGAGCTGAAGAGCTGAGGGACAGCGCCCAGGCCCAGAGTTCAGACCCCACGACCGGACCCAAAAATAAATAAATAAATAAATTTTCATACCTCAGGAAAGGCATCATATCACATATTTATGAAAATTACTTAAAGGTATATGGTGTAATATAGTGTACTTGCTGTGTGTTGAGTCTCCACTAAACAGAAACTCTTATGTTGAAGCTATAACTCTGAATTACTTCAGATGTAATTGTAATTGAAGGTAACATGAAAAAAAAGGAAATGAGAAGCAGAGATTCTGCGAACTGCAGATGGCTATAACAAGGGTGTATAGCAGGAAACTTAGTTTAGGACATGAGACAGAATGACTATGAGGAGCAGCAAGGAGTCCACCTACCCTATCTTGGTCCATGGACTGAGAGCCAAGTCCAGCCCTCCCTGGAGTATCTCCAAGCGAAGCAAATGTTAGTCAAGAGGAAGGATCAGGGAGAAAACCCAGAGGTTGAGTTCCTGAGACTTAAGACTACTTTCTAAGTTCCAGCAGGCACTGGAAAATAGCTTAAGGGCCAGAATGTAAAGCCCACCTATGTGGTTGATAAATTTGTATTACTGCCATGGTTCAAAGAGCATCCTATATGCTAGCCTAATTATCCCTGATTCCTGCTTAGATTTCAGAGCTCAACTCAGCTTTCACTCAGTCATTTGTTGTGGGCCCACAGTCAACACTAGCATCTTCTTCTACAGCAGCATAACTCTCCATACAACTCTCCATACACAGGGTAGAGGGAACTGGAACCTGAGTGTGTGGGGGGGGGGGCGGGGGGGGATACTTACAGCAGGTCACCTGCTAGAAAGCCTGCATCAGAAAAACATGGATTTAGGACACATGGTTGCATGAGCAATTCACGTTTTTATTTTAGGGAAAGGCTTTTGGAACAAAGCTCATTTTAGAACACTCACTATCACATGGAATAATCAACATTTGCAGTTCCTCACTCTGAAGTCCTGTTCTGCTGACGGTCCACTTAGAAATCATCTTTGCAGAATACTAATAGATATCATAGTCCTTATATTGGAATGAACTTGCACATTTTCATTTTTTACCGACAATGGTGTATTTCAACAGAATATAGTTTAAACCCTATATCAAAGATGGTATTATAGACAGATGATGACCATTGTCTTGAACAGAGTTGAAAGGGATCATGAAATTCAGAGAGAAAGAGCCCACCTAAGCAGGAGGGTGTATAGCAGGAAATATAGTAGGGCCTGGGCCGCACTTGCATTTATATCCATGCATTAGCAGGTCCCAGGCTTGCTTTTGTGGATAAGAAGCTGTGGAGTTAAGTGGAACTAGCCATTTTCCAGTTTTCATATAGAATAGGGTTGGAAAACTGCATCTCTGGAAAGTCAAATCTGCACACATACTTAACAACGAAGACACAGCTCCATCTAACCCCAATCTATGACTGCCATGTTTCATTTCTCCTGCACAGAGATGAATAGTTTGTAAAAGACTGTATGATCCACAAATCCTCAAATACTGACAGCAGGTTGAAGATCTCTAATCCAAAATGCCAAAACCTTAAACTCTTTAAGCAACATGAGGCCAGCCAAGAGGAAAATTCGGCCCTACTTCTACATAAACAAATGTCTTTCATTATATAAAATCAGTTCAAAGAGTATATAAAATCACTTTTATGCTGTATATAAGGGGTATAAAACCAAGTGCATTTTGTGTTTATAACTTGGGGGGAGGGTCATTCCCAAGTTATCTTATTCTTTATACACAGACAAAATGTCAAAGATTAACTCTGACAGACTGGGAAAGTTTCCTAAAGGAGGCAGATAGATCCACATCTTACAAAGAATACCACTCCCCTGTTTAGAGACCTTTCTTGCTCTGCCTGGGAGGAGGAATCCATGAGGTGATGACTGTTTGTAGAAGGGATTTTGCTGCAAGGGCTAGACCCAGGATGCCTCCTCCCTGCACCCCCCCCCCAAAATGTGTCTAACAATGCCAAATGATCAACTTATAGACAGTTCTCTTGACCACCCTAGCACTGACGGTTACCCTGTGAGGGCCTGAAACTATTTGAGAATGGGAGAATAAAGGTAGAAAGTTAATTTGCAGAGTTAGAACGGCTTTACCCAGACCAAATAACTCAGAGACCTGGTCAACACATGACAACTCTGGCCGCATTCCTTTGCCAATATTAAGCACACAATCAAGACCTCAGCATCCAATGGAGCTCTTGAGGTTAAGGGAAGAGAAGCAGCCCAGGTTGCAGTGAAACAGGTTAAACCATCATTCTTAATCCAAACAGAGATAAACAATACCCTTGGTACTATCCCTCTGCCTTCTAATTCCACTTCTCTCCCCTGAGTTCATGAACCTGATTCCTGGTGAAGACTTGAGCCCCTGCATAAGGTCAGGTAATAGAGCAGGACAGGCACCTGACAATACTGAATATACCCATTAATATTACCACTTCCTACTAGAAGGTTCCAGAAAGAACACTCAAAAAAAAAAAAAAGGAGCCCAAGTTACTAAGCTCAGAGCCTTATTTGTCTTCTTAATTTTGCTTGAGTTGGTGAGTGTAGCTGGAGAAATGGACCAACCATCTGGACAGTGTCATTTGAAATCCCTGTCCAGCAACTTCAAGTGTTCCATAGGCTCTCCCTCAGTGTTGAAATGAAAGCATTAGAGAGGGTATGTCAGTCAGTCTTCCAGCACTGAGCATTTCCCCCCTCACTCCTGCTCTCTCATTCCTGCTGCTGCTTTCACTGGGTTAGAGAACCTGGAGAGAATTGACACCTCTCACCTCTCTGTAAGCAGCAGCTCCACCTGCAGAGACAACTCCAGAGCATCGTGCTCAGGGTTCTATTTGCTCTCATCCCTGACCCTGTCCACAATTTGGTCACTTCTCACTACTGCCCTTGCCCTTATCCAAACCAGCCCATCAACCCAGCAGCCCATCAACCCAGCAGCCCATCAACCCAGCAGCCCGTACCCCCCCACCCCCATTCTTTTACTTCCCTGGTCTTGGCAACACAACACGCTCAGAATTTTTCTGTGACATCCCTTCACATTACATAGAAGTCCTGAGTGAACTAGTCATCTGTCCCCATCATTCTACTACCTTCCCTTCAGGACTCTACCTCTAGGCCTTTACATAGGCCATTGCCCATGACTGGAAAGCCTTTCTTTCCTCTAGATTCCAATGCTACCTTACCGGGGAAGCATTTACTAATTACCCCTGCATAAGAGTAATCCCCAGATCTCTCAGTACCAGCCTTCCATGTCCTATATATAGTTTCAACATCATCTAAAACATCTCAGGTATAAAGGGTGCATGTTTTCTCTCATATGTAGAAATGTAAATGATAAACATACATAGGCACATCTGCATATACACACTCACATTGACTAAGGTATGCTATACAAAGGAGAGGACTGCAATAGTGTGACTCTTTCCAGTGACTTAAGAGTTTCACAACATGAATACCAGAAAGCTGAAATGTGTTGCTGGAAGGAGAGGAGATCAAGTGGAGGGGGGGGAAGAGAGAAAGAAATGATGTCATAATATTCAATGTATAGATGTAAACATGAAACCAGGTAAGTTGAGGGGATTGTGGGATTCAGTAAATATTTGAACAAAAGCCCAGCTAAATAGGGTCCCCTCATTTCTCAGGCCTCACTCTGTTCCACCACCTACACAAGCAAGCTAGTTTAGGCCACTGTTGCTTGAGGAGCCACCAACCCATCCTGATACCCCACAGGAAGGGCGGTGCCTGCATTCCACCCTGGGTCATCTGATTGGTGAAGCACAGGTGCCACACTGAGGGCATGAACAGCTAGGAGCATGTGTACTCAGTGCTGCTCCCCTGTGAACATGATGGCTGACCTGGATACTGCCCTTCCTCCCCCAGGTTCATGACTACCTCCGCAGCAAGCTTTGCTCCCTCTACGAAAATGACTGCATTTTCGATAAATTCGAGTGTGTATGGAATGGATCAGACAGGTAAGAAAGGCTTTGGGTCTTTGGAACCTCCTAGAGAAAGACTCTCACCTTGAGGGTGGCACAGGAAAATTTATCCTAAGCAAGAAGCAATTAGAAGAGAGGGCCAAGTAGGCTCTGGTGACTCACGCCTATAATCCTAGCTACTTAGGAGGCTGAGATCTGAGGCTCGAGGCTCAAAGCCAGTCCAGGCAACTAATCAACTGGAAAGTCTATGAGACTCTTCTCTCCAGTTAAGTACTGAAGAGCTGGAAATGGAGCTGTGGCTAAAAATGGTAGAATGTTCACCTTGAACGCAAAAGCCCAGGGACAGCACCCAGGCCCTGAGTTAAAGCCCCAGAAAAAAAATTTAAAAAAAAGGAAGGGCCAAGGCCTGGCCAGGATGGATGGGGTAGGTCACTGGAAGAACTCTTATGGTCAGAAGGAGACCATGAAACAGTGACTCCATTTCAGGCTGGCACAGGTGTCAATTCGGTATCAATGAAATCCTATCTTTAACATACAGAACATTCCCACACACACCCCAGGTCACCATGCCTACAGGAAACCACTAATTGTCCAACAGCAGTTCCAGCCTGAACAGTCCTGCTTATAGGCTTTCTAGTTCAACCCTCAGCCACTGGCGTGAACCAGCCCGAAGGCCCCAGTGGCTCATTAGCTGGATTCTAGTCAACCTCATTTATCACATTCCCTCAAAATGATGTATTACTGTTTTAAGGCTTTTGATTTCAACAATACTTCATAGTACCTCCCAATAGTTCATTTTTACTCTGACAGATACAGATGATTCTGTGAGAACTAGATGCAAGCTGCCTGGCTGACTGAGCTCTTTGATGAAGGTGGCTTCAGTAATAGTGTGAGGTAGCCTGGAACTGCTTTCACTACAGGACACTTGGCAGCGCCAGCTTTGAGTAAGCACAAGCTATCTCTCACACTCACACACACATGCACTTTTTTTTGCCTTCTTCCACTGACCCCAAATGAACTCTGCACAGAGCAAGACTCAAAGGAGTCACCATGTGACACTTGACTTGGTATAGGATAGAGCGCAAAGCAACTGTGACAAGTGAATCAAAGTTCGTGAGGGCCAGATGCTGGTGGCTCATGCCTATAATCAGGATGCTGAAAGAGGCAGAGATCTGAGGATTGCAGTTGGAGGCCAGCCCCAGCTACATAGGCCACAAGACTCTCCAGTGAACTAGCAAAAAGCCACAAAGTGGAGCTGTGGCTCAAGTGGCCAGAATGCCAGCTTTGAGCAAAAAAAGCTAAGGGAGAACTCCTGTGCCCTGCAATTTCAAACTGCAGTACTGGTGCATCCATGCATACACATACACATACACACACATACACGGAAATCCACAATGGGGAAATAAGCTAGCCCTATTATTTTAACATGTATTTAGTTGTAGATATTATTTACATATTTATAAACCATTGTTCCCACTTAACTTTTTTCTTAGCCTAGAATCAAACTTGACTCCTTTTATGTACCTACTGTCTACCAGGTACTTTTACACACAACATTTAAGCCTATCCACAGTCCAATAAAGTTATGTTCAACAGCCCCACTTTCCAGATGAGGTAACTGAGGGTTGGTCAGATAAAAAGCCTGGTCTCTCCAAGTAGTAAGATCAACAGTGAACACCTGAGTGTCCCATACAGCTGGGAGCATTGGAGTTTGGCTCAAATAGAGTTATTTGGGGGGAAATACATCCTGAGTTGGGAGAAGTGAGTGTCAGTACTGAGAAGCAAAGAAGCCAAGTACCGGAGTGCTTTGCCCTGGAACCTGGCACCCGGATCTGGCCCAACTTTGTCCCTGTCCAGCACGGATGGCTCATTCTGCCACTCTCTTGCATGGGATCAAGGAACTGGAATGAGATCTGAGGTTGTAGAGGAAGAACCCGGCAGAGTCATAGTGGTTCATTTTGGCACAGGGAAGAACAGTTTATAGAATCAGTTCTGTGAGCCAGAGTAACAGAATTTCACCCTGGATGGAGTTGCAAGCTGATAATATGCCCATAGAGATCCTGGCAGTGTTTCTCTGCATCTTCTTATGCAGCCTTTATCACAGGAAGAACACACAAGGCTGGGCTCTCCTTCTACCCCATAGGTCAGTCCCCTGGCCACCATCCCTTCTCATACCACCAGCAGATGGTCCCTGAGGAACAAGCACAGGATCCCCAGACCTAAGGGCCATCTATCCCTCCCATCAGTTGGCCACCATTGAATGTCGGCAGCTTATTACTAGAAGGCTTTGGCAAGCTCCAGAGAAGGGTGTCTGCAGAAGCCATGTGAGCCTCTCCTCCAAAGTCTTACATTCCCTTACCAAGTCCTTTCAACTTTGAATGTCTGTTTTTCCCAAGCCATGACACCCATGGTGTAGGTGACTTTTCTGAAAAACTGAACTTAGAACTACTTTCTAGAAGGTGGTGGCCAACAGCTGCCATAGGGCAGATGAGATGAAGGCCTGAAGGACAGATGGCTCAGGCGCACCGCCTGTGGCAGCTATACTTTGTCCATGAGCAACAATTCGCTGTTACCAAAGTGCTTCCATTTATTTGTTACCCTACTCCTAAAGGGAGGGAGATAGGACAGGATTGTAACCGCCAGACCTACCTTAGAGCCAGAAGAATCTATAAAAAACAAAAATAAGTAATGCTTAAGGCTTCTCGGTATCCTATCTTTCAAAGCTCCTGTTCTTAGGATTCAGCTGTCAGCACTGCTGGAACAGAGCTGATGGGAGCTGATTTCATAAAACCTATAAGTGCCAGAAGTTAGCCATGGTGCGGTGCCATTTGCTCCAGAATGAGAAAAACTGTGGAAACAGTAATTCCCTGTATGTAGACCATTCAGTCACTCTCCATCTCCTCCTTCCCTTGCAGTGTCATCATGACGGGGTCCTACAACAACTTCTTTAGGATGTTCGACCGTAACACCAAGCGGGACGTGACCCTGGAGGCCTCACGGGAAAACAGCAAACCCCGAGCTATCCTCAAACCCCGGAAAGTGTGCGTGGGGGGCAAGCGGCGTAAAGATGAGATCAGTGTGGACAGTCTAGACTTTAGCAAAAAGATCTTACACACGGCTTGGCATCCTTCCGAAAACATTATAGCGGTGGCAGCTACAAATAACCTATATATATTCCAGGACAAGGTGAACTAGAAGGACAAGTTATTAATCTCACATACTGAATACTAGTCAAACGAGTTTTTAAATATTTCCTTGGGTCTTCATTTTGACGCATTGACTTTACTTTCCCTGTGCATAAAATAACAATTGGGGTAGAATTAAAAAGGAGTTCGACTTTCCCATCTCCCCAGTTCTGAGAAACTTTTGTCAAACCCAACAGGTTTGGGCCACTTCTGTTTAGGATGGAGAGCTGCCCGCTAACAGTAATTCTCCCATAGTTGAATTTCTGATGCTTTGATTGCCATTTTTCTCCCCTCTGGTGGGTCCTGTGTTTTGTTTCTAGGTGTCTGCTATGATAAAATGAGGTTGTCTGTAGTATTTAAGGAGAAAAGAGATAAGTTTTTTTTTAATTAAGCAATTCCATTTGATTGGAAAAAATCAACAAAAAATAAACAGCGTTTACTCTACTCTTAGAGAACTTCTTTTTGTGTGGAAAAAAAATCAGAACTAGTCATGACACTTTTTTTTCTATTATAACAATTTTCTTGGGACTGAGGGGAGGAGACAGACTAAGAAGGGAGGAGGCGTGCCTCTCTTTGTAAATGTCCCACAGAAACAAGCTGGGGTTTGACCAGAAACTTCCCTGAATGCATCAGGGGATAGAGACCTAGATCTACATTGGGCTGGCAAAGCCTTGCAGTACCATATACCACCTACTACTGCCTGGCCCTTTTATACTATTTTTTTTGTTCTTTTAAACATTACATGTAATCTTCTACCTACACCTTTCTTGGTTGTTTTCCTTCATTCTTTTCCAACTTAACATTCTGGTGACTTCTAACAGCTACATCTTGTTTGCTTGGTAACTGGGGTTGTAAATAAGCCAAGGCTAGAACAGGAGCAACCCTCTGGCTCCTGAAGAAAAGCTGGTCTGTTCTTTAAGGCAAGGGGGTGGGGTCTCCTGAGCAGCACCACCCTTTATCCTGGTTTTAGTAACCAGGATAAAGCAAGTTATCATGCCCCCTTGTACATCAGCCAACGAAGATGGCCAATGAAGACTGTCTTGTAGAGTTTAATCAAGGACCTCTAGTCCACTTCAAGTTCATCATCTGGGAAAATAGACACCATAGGTATGGGATATGGAGGAACCAATGATCCTTGGCCACCTTTGTCCTGTTTGGCCCCACTCCAAGAAATATTCATCCATCAGGTGTGGTTTCTGACATGCCAGTATTTACTAACATCTATAGCAGAACCTGGTGCTTTCTTCCATTTAGATGAGGAGTCAGACTCAGTTCTAGAAAGTCCTTTCCAGAAGATTCTGTGAGGTTAACCTGTGGATGGACCCTGCATAAATTTAAGGGATTTATGTATGTGTAGAGAATACTTAAGAGGTAGGAGGTGTCTAGAAAGCTGGGTCTGGGTTGTTTCCAACTCTCCCTCACTGGCCATTTCCCTTTACTTTTTGGTAATGCTGGGATTTGAACGCAGGACCTCACCTTGGCTGGCACTCTACCCCTGGTGCTTTATAAAATGACTTAGGTGTCAAGTGGATATATTTTTGTTGTATGAATGGTTGAAAAAATACTGGCACCTCAGATCCAACTTGTTATGAATGTTATTTCTTTGGAGGAGGCATTCTGGCTTTGAATGTGTGATTTAGAGACATGCTCAATGGTGCTCTACCACTAAGCCATACTCTCCAGCTCATTTCTCATAACTTCCCTTCAGTAGACGGGAAATAGCTTACTGCAAGAAGTTTCCAGCATGTGCTTTTATTAGAAGTTCCATTTTGCAAATGTCAATTTGCTTTGGAGGGGAAAAAAACGAATGAATTATACTATGTAAACAATAAAACCTCATCCATTCCACTGTAGCATTTTGCCAAGGAAGTATCTACTTACAAAATACCACTTTCGTAAAGTGAGCCTCAAATTCAGGACAGCCTGTCATCAAATGCATCTCCACATCCTGAGGGCCAGCACATGATTTCCTGTTTCTTGTATGCCCTGTGTTGAGATGCTGCCCAGGTATCTCAAGAGGCCCTGGGTAGGGACAATGTTCTTTGAAACCTAAGAGTCAAACTTCTCCAACCCACAGCAGATTATGATGGAGAGAAGACCACTGGGTGTGGTCCTCAGTTTACCTTTTGTCCACTCCTCTAGGCTCTGTGTCAGACTGTGCCAGGTGGGGCTGTGCCAACCTTGTTTCTCAAATTGATCATCTACTCACCCTGTACTACTGTTCACTTAACCCATCCTTAAGTCACCTTTCCTTAAGAGTAAGACACCCTCCTCCAAAGAATCATATTCATGTAGTCAGTTCTGATGTGGCAGTATTTTTTCCAGATTAATCACAGCCACTCATACAACAAATATGTATGCAGTCGACACCTAGGTAATTTTGTAAACTACCAGAAGCATGCTTACCAAACCACCTAACTGACGTGCCATTTACAGCTTTTGAGACATTCAAGGGTGTCCATCGTTTGTCACAGATTCAAGAGGTTCACTTAGCCAGAAGGGAATCACAGTCTTACTTCTCCAGCTAGGCTAAAAGAAAGGGCAGCTGTTCTCTCCTTCAACCCCCACCTGCACCGAGGCCCAATGGGCAGGAAGACAGCCACACAGGGCACAGCCCTGGAGGTAGATCCTGAGTGGCAGCCCTGGTTTTCTTGCCACTTGTCGGCCGAGCTAGATATTGCAGGTGCCATCTCTTAAGCCCTAGTACAATCACTTCCTTAGCAGCAGCCTGAAGTCTTCCAGGAGACATTCTAAACTATTTGGAACCTACCTTTAAAATCATTTGTTTAAATCTGAGGACTGGGCACTACTTCATCTATTAGTGCCCTCGGGTTAGAAGTCTGATTGGGAAAAATGGAAAGTGCATCTTCCTGGGCTTGAATTAACATCTTCCTAATGGAACTTCCAGTTCTTGATGTTGAAAAGCAAGCCACTCAAAAAGCAAAACCTTAACACCCAGTCATGATTTCTTATGGGTGGAGGAAGATGAGCAATGAAGAGCAGCTAGACTCTACGTGGACCACCAGATGGATCCATTTGCTTCTTGGCTCCTTCAGGTCTGGCTCCTGCCTTTCCTCTCCTACTATTTAAAGCACCAGTGGTCACACCCCTTGTGAACCACTGTTGCTTCTGTCATGGCCTGCTCATCTCCCCCTCCACCCCCATGATGCCATTCCTGCTTTCACTGCAAAGAAAGAAGTCGACTCAGGGTGTCACCATAACCAAGGACACCTGCCAGTAAGACGTAGACTCAAGGGGTGTGCTCTGACTTGGCACTATTGACATACTGGATCTAAGATACCTACTATGGAGTAGCTAACAGTTCTCAAACAGTCCTTATAGGCCAGGCTTTGTCCTGCAAGTTTCATAGGTATTCGTTTCTTTACTCCTCAAACTCTATGCAGATACAGTGACATCATGTGTTTCACCTTTGGATGCCCCAAACCTGCACAGCATCATTGCTGTGCTGAATAGGATAAAACACGATGCAAAGTGTGGGCAGATCTACCCAAACTTGTCTACACACCAGCATCGCCACCAACATGAGCAATGCCCTACACCAGGGTGTCAGAATAGCTTCATGTCGTTCCAACAGCCATGATGATGGAGCCATAGGGATTGTTTGGCTCCATTATAATCAAACGGGACCCCAGGAGGGTATGGGGATCATTGTTAACCAATACATCATCACATGGCACAGGGTGGTGGGGTTACACTGAAGGAAATCATGAAGACAACTAGTTTACACAGGTCACAAGCAACAGAGCAGGTGATTGGTCAGTTTGTATTACCATCATGCAAACATAGGGATGGAAGAGACTGATTAGAAAACAAGTGCCAGTCGCCACCCACAGATTCACCAACATTAAAGGCTCATGGCTGACTGAGTGTGTCAGGCAGCCAGGTCCAAGTACAAGGGCTGGAGGTCCTGAGATGTATAAGCCATGGTCCCTGCCTGGCAAGGGATGACATATAGGACCAACGTGCACTCTTTAAACATATTCACATTGCAACAAGAGATGAACAAAGTAAGGGAATAGCACAGCACAGGACTAATCAATAAAGGATAAGTCTATTTGGAGTGACAAACACCTCAGCAGAGTTTTAAAGCAGTTCTTGCAGCAGACAAAACACAGTACAATGTCTCCAACAGAGAGGCATGTGAAGTACTTCTTCATGTGAAGAGCTGAAGCATGAGTGTCAGCCAGGTATAGTGTCACACATCTGTAATCCCAGCACTCAGGAGTCTGAAGCAGGAGGATATAAAGTTCAAACCAGGCCTGGGCTTCACAGTAAGACCCTGTCAAAAAAAAAAAGTAGTACTAGGTATTGTGGCACATGCCTACAATCCCAGCCACATGGGAGGCAAGCGAGGGAAGATTATGGTCCAAGGCCAGTCTGGGCAAAAACATTAAAGCAAAACATTAAAACATTAAGGCAAAAGGACTGGGGACAGGGTTCAAGTGATAGAGCCCTTGCCTAGGAAGTGCAAGATCCTGAGTTCAAGCCCCACTACTGCCAAAAATACAAGGTTGCTATGGGATATGATATGGGAGCAAAAGGCCAATACCTCCGTCCTATAAGAAACCAAGGAGGTGTTAAAAAAGAGTCCTTGAACTCAAGAGCAAAGCTTTCTGCCCCCACATATATCAAGTCTATTATGTGAACAAATTCCTAGTGTCCACAGTTTCATTAGATTAAAACCATTGAGATAGGAAAAAATTCCACACCCAGTAAGCCTACCTATGTATATTTGTTCACCTACATAAAATCAAAATAAATGGTTGAAAAATGAGAAATTGAAAACAACAGGATAGGTACAGTGGCTCATTTCTGTCATTCCCAGCTACTCAGAATCAAGAGATTGGAAGGTTCTCATTTGAGTCAAGTCGGGGGGGGGGGGGGGAGGGAGGGGGGGGAGGGAAGATAGCAAGCACCCATCCCAGCCAATAAAGAAAGCATGTGTATGTGTGCCTGGAATAGCAGCTATGCAAGAGGCATACATAGGAGAATGGAGATCTGAGGTTAGCCCAAGGCAGAGATGAAGGGCCTTACCTGAAAAATAACTAAAAGCAAAAAACAGAGCTCTCTGTAATGACAGAGAGCCTGCCTAGAAAGCACAAGGTCTTGAATTCAAACTCCGGTACTAACCAAAACCTAAACAAAGAATCACATTTTCAATTTTCTAGCACTAGCCTACCCCTTCTTTCAGTCATTCAGTGGCTTTATGTTTCCCTAGTGCTGGGAATCAAATCCAGACCCTCACACCTGTAGGCAAACTCTACCCCTGAGCTTTACCCCAGCCCCAAGAATGCATCTTAAGTTTTTATGTGTAAGCATTGTATTTAAATGTAAACTAAAGAAATCAGTAGTTATCAGGCAGTTACCATTGACCAAGAATCCTTTTTTTCTCTGACAGTACAGGGACTGAACTCAGGGCCTCACACTTGGTA